TCGACTCAGAGACAAAGCTGCTGCCCACACAGTTCAGTTCAGAGATGATCCCCGGATGGCCTACATCCAGACGATTCTGCACAGCGTTCAGGTAATTTAAGCTTTGTTTTGTATGTAACCTATGCTGTTGGCTCCTTGTGTGAGAGCAGCTTCAGTTGAGAATGACAGAGTCCGGGCACAAAATACTGAAGGAATATTGTAATCTTTTGTCGTTGTTTTCTTTTATAGGGAGAGAGACTTCTAATGTATAAAAGTACATCAACATCACAGTTTGCACATATGATTTGTGGACTCAAATGCAACAATACAGTTTAATATGACAGAAGTAAATCTATAGCGCTTTCAGGTGCTGTATGGCCAGCTGTGCCATTTAACGTGAGTAACTTACATGAAATAATTAAAAAAACAAATTCTGCTTAAATCTGGACTATCCACCTCCCAAGAGGGTGGTCACTTTATATAGATTTGTCCAATACAGATAGACACAAATGTTGCAATTAATCAAGTATTCTTTGGCTGATAGCCTGCGCCGATACAAATAATTTGTTTTGTTTTAACTATCTTTATACATTTACCCAATGGACCATTGATGCAGTAAAACACTTGCCTCAGCCATCATGAAATGTCACTATACTGCCTCACAGGGTGGGCAATTAATTGAAATTAATGTACGTTTTGGCTTTGGCTCTTGGCAGTTGTGCAAAAACTATCATTTTTATATTCAAACACGAGACAAATCTCTTATTTGTTTTGTGTTTTAAATCAGTTGCATACCTTTCATTTAAATCTTTTTAAGCCCCTCCTTAAAAACCCAAATCATTCAAAGTTCAGCTTGAGTCAAGAACACAGAAAACATTTGAGAACCTTTTGGTAGCAAGGTCTGTCTGCTGCATTGCCTGTCTGTCACTGAGGGACTCCTACCTGGTTTGCTTTTAGTAGTGCATGACCGAGTTGAATATTAGGCTTTGCCTGTCCATCTCTCTTCCTGTAGATACTTTGCTGGTCTTCCAAGGAAGTCTGCTGCCACCTGGGCCGTTTTTAAGCTTCCATCTGCCAGTATGGACATCTTGCAGTGGAAGCTGTGATATATATGTACATGGCCCTTGGCAGATGGACTTTATGGTCCAAAACACCCACTACTCTGGGCCTAGCTCTACCAGACAACGCTCTGTACCCCACCTTGTACACCCTGCTTTTTAATTATTTATTTATTTGTTTGTCTGTTGAAATTATTTTTAAAGTTCCAGGGTAATCCCCTGTAAAAAGATGTATTGAAAGTTCATTATATGCATAAGTGTTGAAAATTAAAATTACCAACTAAAATAGCTGTAATTACGTTTTTTGGCATAATCAGTGTTTGGCATTGTTGTATTGAACAGGGAAAAGCACTTTTTTTTTTTAAAAATCTCATTGCATTATTTTTGTTTCTGCTCATGTTTTTCCAGCTGAGGAAGACACCAACACTCGAGGAGTTGCTTCAAGAATCAGAAATTATCACACAATCTTCACATTTCCGTAAAACCACCGGTGGACTGGTGTGTCCGGATGATTTTTTTGCGGGAAGCAGTGATAATGTTTCGCTCCCAGCTGCAGCGAAAGGAAAAGTTGGTGTTTGTCTTCCTCCACTGACATCGACAACATATAGTGCCTTTTTCGCCTCTAATGTGACACCTCAGGAAAATTACCAGGAAGGATGCCTTACTGACCAAGTTAACAGCCAACAAGGATCCCAGCCAAATTTTTTACATAGTGCGAGCTGCCAGTCGCTCTCCTCAGGTTACGTCACCAACGAGAATGTAGAAAACTGTACTGCTATCTCTGAAAGGATTAATGCAGAAAACGAGAGCAATGTCTCCGACTACTCAGAAGGATTTTATAACACAGTGGGCTTTTTTCTTCACAACACCTCAAATACAATCGCCAAGATGCCAGATATTATCAGCCACCCTCCCATAGATGGAGAGGAATTAGAGAGGAGTGGGCGGGAGTCATCTTTTTGTGATAACTTAACAGACTTGAGAGAAGTTTGTTGCACGTCATTTGAGGAGGATTCACTCTTGTGTAATCCTTTACCAACAGAAAAATCTAAGAATGGTCAACTGGACAGTGTGATGCGTGATGATAACGATCCCTTTAGTTCAGTGCATGACCCTGACAAAGATGCACATTTAGACAAAAATGAGGACTCAGTTGCTTTTTTGGAAAAAAGCAGCTTTTCAGATAATCCAACACATACACAAAGCACTCGTCACCGTCTTACAACAGAACTGTGTGTTCAGCGCAGTCCCAGAGAGACTGAACTAGAGGACAACCAGGTAGATGAAGCAGACTCAAAGCTGTCTGAGGAGCCTTATCGTCTGAGCCTCCAGGCCTTGCTGAAGAAATCTCAGGAGTATCGACGGCGCCAGCGGATGCTTAGGAACCAAGCCAAAAACACTAAAATCCAAGAGAGAACCCAAGAACAGCCAAGAGCAAAGGCAGAGGAGCAGAGCAGCTCTGATAAGGAGAATGATGAGATCCCTTACAAGGACACTGTGACTGCAGAGGGGAAGAAGACTAAAGACAAGAGAAGTACTTTTATCTCCTCAGTGGAAACTTCGTTAAAGAAATCCTATGAGAATGAGCGGATGGTTGAAAGTGAACTCTCTGGGAAAAATATGACACATTTAACAGGAGATGGAGATAATAAGGAAATGACTAGTGTTGATGAAGAAACAATCATCATAAGTAATAGGCTGAACAGTTCACAGGAGGTCTTAATAAAGCCAAAACAATTCAGTGCCTTCATCCAGCAACAGCCATTAGAAACCTCCCTTGTTAAAGATCCTCCAGCTTTTTTTAAAGGAGGAGGGAAATATTGCACAGTCCCAGCCCCTAGCTTCTGCAGGAGCCCTGTTCACTACAAAAGAAAAAGTGGACAACAGGTTGATGTGGAGGAGACCTCAAAGGGGAAACTTGAGGTTGGTACTGGTTTGAAAGACCATCACAATTCTGAAGAAGTTAATCCAGGTCATCAAAACAGTCCTATAGTGGGTCCTCCTGGAGTGAATCTCACAGTTGAAGGGGAAGTAACAAGCATTTTAACCAAGAGTTCACAGCACATAGATCAGTTGGAGTCAGACCTGTCCAGTCTTAAGGTTCTAATCACAGATCTCGAGTCAACGGTGAAAGAAAACTTGAAAGAAGACAGTCACAGCCAAGCTGAGAGCAGCCTGCAAAGTGAGTTAAGTTTTAAGGGTATGACAAATGAGCAAATAAAAAGTGATTATTGGGAGGACAAGCAGAGAGCTCATGGTGATAATAGCAGTGATGCAGAGTACAGGAAGTGGTCGAGCAGACAGTTATATAACAATTACAGAAACATGCATGGAGACTCAGTTCCGGAAGCAACTGTCAGTGACACAGATGATGTTCCCCTCACAGTTAAGGAGAACAGGGATGAGCTCCGTGATTTTAGCGAGCACAGATTGATCAAAACCTTATCTGCAGAGAGAGAAAGTAGGAAAAAAGTGAGCAAAGAAGCACTAACCGGGAGTTCTGCACAGCCTGGAGATTGCGGAAAGCAGCAGCCACCTGCTAAATGCATCCTTTCTGTGGCTCAGCAGATGCGCATTCCTGATGTTTTCCGAAATGTTCCATCTGATCCTCCTTTTCGGAGTTACATCTCAGTGCCTTCAGATAACAGTAACCACCTTGTTGAAAGAAGGAAAGAATTGGCCCTAGAAGGTCACAACTCCACCCACTCACCATCTCTAAATCAGTCATATGATGTGGACACACCGTCTGGCCTGTGGTTCACTGAAGGATCAGGGTCACAAGGTCATCCTGAGCAAGAAAAGCATCTGACCCCACAGAGTGGCAGTGACGGTCAGGGAGGGGCGTCCAAGGTCAAACGGAGACTGCTAATGCACACGATGGAGGAGACACTGGAAGGGAGTGCCAATACCAGTGGGGGAGCGGACTCTGTCAGACCCAACTCCAGCACACCCAGAGGTAAGAGGAGAAGAGGAAGTGTTGTTTAAATAACCATGTTAGGTATTAGATATTTATTCTCAGTGACATCATACAGAGCCAAGAGTAGAACAAACTGCCTGAAACACAGTGTTTAGAACAGTTTGAGGCCTGACAGTTTATACATGCACCAAAAATAGCTGGCGTCTTTGTGTTGTTTTGTCTTGAGGTGGAGACGCTTGATGTTTAATACAGGAGGGGATAGTGCATCACGTGGAAATGATGAGGTGTTGTGTAAAAAAAACCTCTTTGATCGAGTGGTGACACCTTTCTTTCCATCGTGCCTCGGGTGCCTCAACGCTATAAATGGTTAGGTGTGCTGGTAATGTTGCAGCTCACCCAGACACTGACAGACACCTCGCCCATAATGATGTCTTTAGATTTTGGTTTAAGTGTAATATATGATGGAAAATAAAGGTAAAGAAAAAAAGATAACAGCTCTTCTTTAATCTTTGTGCCACAAAAAGGGAAAAAGGAGAAAATATTTCGACTCAACCCTAGACTCTACATCATTAGAAAGCTAATTTTTCAAATCTTATAAAATATAGTAACAGTTGTGCAAATGACCTGTAGGCAAATGTAGTGGGCCAACAGTGAATTTCATATGTGACCACATGTTGTGTTTCCTGTCTGTAGCTGCAGGGCAGTGGTGTGAAGGTCTCGACAGTCAGAGGAATAAGCGAGAGCAGCTGAAAGAGATACACGCTGCTCAGGTCAGAGCGCTGCAAGAGGAGCACAGGAGACAGCAGGAGGAGCTGCTACAGGTGAGACTTATTTTATTATTTATTGTATTGTACTATACATATTACTGCTATTTTGTTATTGGATTCATATATTTCCTTTAGATGATAGATCTGAAACATTTTTTTAAAAGTGTGGAAATAGACAAATGTGAAGCAAAGAAAAAGAGTGGCAGAAGGTTTATTTGAGAGTCCAGTTATGTACTAATTACTCTGGGAAGAAAATACCTGACATATACAAACTCGTTTGTTTAATACTTGCTGCACCTCTGATGGTTTGTTGCCAATTTGGATAAAAATCTCCTGATAAGGTTTTAACTAATAGTACAGTGTAAGCACATATAACCCAAAGACTTTAGACTGATGTAAACACCCATTTTTCTGCTCTGTATGATGTCACTAGGAGTGGATATCCCTGATATGGTTACCTCCTATTCAAACCTTTTGAGAACGAGGGGCAACCAATCAGAAGAAAGTTGGCTTAAGTCATCTTGGTGGAGAGAGCGGATGCTCTCAGGGGCTACCCCATGGCCCAGTATAAAATAAATAAGGATTATTTTGAATTGTGACTCATACAAAAGTATTTTAGCAGAGTCCAAGAATAAATCTATAGAACTGACAATGAGAATAATCTGGCACTTTAAAAATGATGATAATTATTCGCATATGTTTAGTTGGTAATACCAGCTCATTGTTATTGTCTTAGTGAGGAGTGTTTGATGTACAGAAAAAAACTATCAAATTAACCAATAGTGCTAAAAAAGTAATGTTTTTAGATCTCAGGAAGTGCTATGGTTAGAAAAGGTTTAGGGACCACTGCTGCAGCTAATGGATTTAATCAGAACAGCTTTAAAATATCATGCATACAGAGCTGACATCAAACATGTCGCCCAAGGTGTTTGCAGTTAAATAAAAAGAGTGTTTATACTTGTGTTAGTGTTATTTATTTTTTTATGGTAATTTCACTCTACATCTCACTGAGATTTGTTTATTCACAAAATATCTCAGAATATTAAGTTAAGTGCTAGATGATATCGATGAAAATTACTTACAGTAAGTCACACAATAACAAACCAAAAATGCTAATAAAAAATAAAGAATGATAACAAAGAATTGAATTAAATGGAAAAAAAATACAGGTGTAGGCTTATTACACCTGTGCTGTTTATTTATTAATTATTATTAATAATTTGTTCAATATGAGTTGTAAGCTGGATAGCTTGATGTAAAATAGATTGAAGACTTGAAATGTTATCCAGAAACTGCTGTATGCGCAGAAATATTGCATTTTATACGCTGAAAAACATTTTTATGCTTTTCTTTAGTCTGTTGCCATAAATATTCTCGTGCACAAAGAAAGTTGAGAAGAAATACAGCATTTACTCATATCATATATAGAGTGGCATCTATTGGGTATAATGTTTTAGCAGTTCTTTTAGCTTTTTTTTTTACACATAGTTTTCAATCATGAGTTTAAATAAATTGTTTTATTTGATGCAATCTAAAGCTGTTTGTCAAATTACATCAAGAAAATGGAGAAAATAATCTGAAATTATATATTCCTGAGACCCCCGAACAAGTGATCATTTATTCTAAGTCTAAATATGGCAAAAACGCAGTCAGTTACCTCCCTCCCATTGGTCTGCTTCTTGCATTAGATTGCATCACATATTGCTGTACAGATCTAGCACTGCGTAATTCCAGTACAGCAACCATAATTCACTCCGCCAAGGTTTCCGACTTCACCCAAAGTCACCTATGAGAAATAAAAACTGAGCTCCAGTTTTAATCTTTTAAAGACAAGGAAAACAGGCGTTGTGAGTTTCTAGCCAATTTACTGAGCGGTAATACAACACTGACCATAAATGCTTCTTTGAAACTAGAAGCAGGCATTTGAAAAAGACTCTGGCATTGTTCCACATGTGACCATGTGCACACAAACGCACACGCACACACACTGTCACCCTACCTGTTAGAGTGAGCTTTTGGAGACCCAGGTCGTGGGCTGACTACAGACGTTTGCTCATTACAAGAGACCTTCAGACTCTCCCCAGTAAAAAAAAAAAAAAAGGGTTTCTACCATAAATGTTTCATTACATCCCTAAGAGGCGAGCTGGCACGGTCGCCTCTTTCTGTGAGTGTATGTGCGTGTGTGTGTGTGTGTCTGTGTGTGTGCGCACATGCAAGACTTCAAGGACGCCTGCTGTTCTCTGGCAACCGGTTCCTGTTTCTTCAGCTTGTGTCTGTGTTTGTTCTTGGCCCGTGTCCTTGCCCTGTTAATCACAGGCTCTGTTTAATTTATGTATCCTTAACAACAATATAATTAACATAAGCTGTTTCATAAAAAGACTTCTTTTTGACTCCCCTCCGTCCTTCCATCATCTGCGCTGTGATGAGAGCGAGCTGTCTGCTGGACTCTCTGGTAGCGGGTGGAGGGGATCGAGGGAATTGACACAGAAAAGGAAAGGATAATTTGTTTAATTCATGAGCGTCTGTGGTTAAGTGCCAGATCGTCCCGCTGAGTGCCACCACTAATGGTCCCTTTGCCTTCTCCTCCTTCTCCTCCCTCCTTTTTTTTTTACCTCCTCTCTCCTCTGATCCCACTTTTTGTTTTGTTTTATACCTCCACCAACATTGTTTTTACTCTCTGGCTGTATTAATTTCCTCCATCTCTCTCATCTCATCATCCCAGTCATCCCTCTCCTCCTCTGCTCCGCTGCTCATCTCATCCCTCTTACCTCTGTGCCCCATCTCTCCCCCTTCTGTCTCTTCCTCTCTACCCTCAATTAATTTCTTTCTCCTGCCTCATTTGCTGTCCTTTCCAATTCAATATTTTCCAACCTTGCCTGCTCCCAAATGTGCACTCACATACACATGAACTTTTCCTCTTATTCCGTATGTGTCTCTCTGTCTCTCAGGCGCTGGAAGTCCGTTATCGTCTCCTTCAGAGCGTGTCCTTCCCCTGCTCCATGTCAGGCTCACGTCTTGGGGACACGTTGACCTTTTCTACCCTCACTCAGGTATTACCATAATATTTGTCCACTCATGTGGGTGATGCAGAAAGCTTGCCCTGCTCACCCTTTTATCTGAAGGATTTTTAGTCATCACCAGTTGGCTGACACGCTCATGTAAAACAGACACTCCACCCCCCACACGTCTTAATCCTCATCAGCATCCCTTTTTATCTGTTATTGTGCTTTTATACGTCTCCCCACACAGCAGTTCAGCTTCAGTAGAAGTACATTTGTTCAACAAACATGTCTTTTTAATGCAACCGCTCTTGAATCAACAAGTGAGTGATGGCACATCAGCTGCTTATTATTCTGCTTATTATTCTCTATTATAATGATGAGCCACGAGTCCACTTGCGTTGATGCACTAAACAGATGCCAACCAAAAGACCTTGAGAAGCTGCGTGGGAAATTAATTGGTTGTCACTGATGGAATTAGCATTCTCCTCTCTCCTCCCCTCTGGTTCTCATTATTCACCCCTCTCTCATCACTCGTTTTCCCTTCTTTCTCCTCTTCCTCAGCCTTCCAGCTCGCAGCACTACCGCCCCCTGCTGGCAGCGGCTGTGAAGGGTTTTCTAACTCGCAGGCTGCTGAGGACGGAGAGAGTAACACAGCTGGTGCGCACCGTCAGGGTGAGTGGAGACAGCAGCGACACGTCTGTTTCTTGCAGCACATGCTCTTATTGTCATTAAATGAGCTCTGCTTGTGTGCAGATGTGTACAGCTGTGCCTAATTTAATTTATTAGGATACCCTTTAGCTACAGCCATGCAGCTGCGATCCTTCCTGGAGTCCTTGACAGTGCAGCATACCGTCTAAAACAGAGACTTCCTCCATCAGGGGTCGCGTTAAACAAATATTTTCCATCACTTATGATGTTTTTGCGTTCGTTTGTTTTTTAACAGTGACAGATGAATCTGATCATCTAGACAGGCTAAAACACTGGTAGTGGGTTAAGCATAAGATTAACCAACACACATGAACACAGTGTTGCTGGCAACATCTTGTCTTTTATACCATAACAAAACGCGACCACCAGAAGTCCAGTCACAGTCACTGGATGGCTTTGAAAAGTGTGAATGTTTTAGTAAAGTCTTCACTATCTTACATTTGTTTGTAAAAACAACCCTCAAATAGACTGAGGGATTATTATACCATCCATGTTTGATATTTGAATAGAAGAAATAAAAAAAATTGGGTGTATCTTCAGCAGCTGAAGCAACTGTGTTCTTAATTTTGGTGAAATTTAAATTTTTACTAAATAACATGTAAACCAGCAGGTGCTGGCAGCGTTTTTTGTTTTTGTTTTTTGTACTTTAATTTAATCGTAAATCCATGAATATTTTAAATATCTATTTGACAGATTTCACCATTCAGTTTGTCTCTGTGTAAACATAATATTCATGATAAATATAACTAAATAACAGCGCAATCTTTGCTGTGTGTGTGCTTTTGCTCATTTAGGACACACAGCAGTTCCTGCAGGCCCTCCGGCAGCAGAGCACTCAGCTCTGCAACAAACAGGACCTCTTACTGCAGGAGAGAGTCACACTGCAGGTATAAATGTTGTAAACACATCTGTTAACCTCTCTGCTCTTCTGCACACCGTCAACTCAACAATTACTCGCTCCATTAGCAGTTACCACAACAGTTACTGTGACTGCACGCATTCATTGAAGCCATCGTCCGCTCTGTAATTGTTTGCTCCTCCAGCTGCGCGCTGCACTTTATGAGGTCTACGACATATTCTTCAACCTGTCAGCCAGAGAGCGAATGCAGCTGATCAGCTGGGACAGAGAGCTCGCCAAGGAGAGAGAGCTCAGACGACAGGTAACCTTTTCAGGAGATCATAAGCTGTGTTTACACATGTGGTCAGTAGTCAGGTTTTCTTCTGGTTCTCCAGTCAAGTGACCGTAAAGTGACCCTGGAGTATTTTAGTGGCAGTCTTAATAAGAAATTTCACATTCTCTAAGTACTGTGGAAAAGTGCTTCAGTGCTTCCTTTATTACCACCTGTATTACTTCCTTTTGCAGAGGCTACACAGAATCTTTTGTAGAAGGAAAAGAGATAATGCACTCCCACAATTCACAGAAACACCAAAGAAACAGTCAGCATGACTGAGAAGTGATGCAGGTCATTTAAATGTTAATGAACAGTATGTTTTCCATTTTGTGGCATAACCTTTATTATGGTTGAACCTCTAAACTAAAAGGTGAACTCTGAATATACTACATTGCAATGGTAAAACTGAATGATATAATAATAATAATAATAATGGATTGGATTTATATAGCGCTTTTCAAGGCACCCAAAGCGCTTTACAATGCTACTATTCATTCACTCTCGCATTCACACACTGGTGGAGGCAAGCTACGATTGTAGCCACAGCTGCCCTGGGGCAGACTGACAGAAGCAAGGCTGCCATATCGCGCCATCGGCCCCTCTGGCCATCACCAGTAGGCAGTAGGGTAAAGTGTCTTGCCCAAGGACACAACGACCAGGACAGAGAGCCCGGGGATCGAACCAGGGACTTTCCGGTTACAGATGCGTCACGGTCTGAGCCACGGTCGCCCCCGATATGATGCTGTTACATTGTTTGACAGACTTCGGGTGTGTGTACGTATTTATGTGCACAAAATCATGAATTCATTTTAGTGCAGTCAGAGAAAGCTTTTAACAAAATTAACACCGGATCATCTCTCCAGCAGGAAGGGAAAATATGAGTGGATGGGATGAGCAGCTAATCATATTTCACTTTATGTTCTCTATTCCTTTGACTTAACCAAAGTGTCCTTCATAACAGGTGATTAACCTTATGTTTAACTCCTGACATGCACAGGACATGCATATAGTTAGCTATAACTTGTTACAATACAATACTACCCAGGTTCCTGTGTACCACACCTGAAGACTCATTAATTCATAAGACTGTGTGTTCATGTGACAGCAAGTCAAAAGGTTAAAGTAAGAAAGCCTCACACTGTTTTGTTTTTGTTTTTTCCTCACTTTCACTATAAAATTAAGGCTCATGAGGATGTAAGAGTACACCAGCTGGGTCAAAAGACACATCACACAAATGCAGTTGTGGTTAGAAGTTTGTATACACTCACTGTCGGCATGAATGTCACAGAAATTTTGGTCTTTGTTTATTTTTAACTTCATTTTTCAGGGTGGAGTGGTACATCGTACTGCATATACATCACACATCTTTAATGACTTTTAAAAAGTCCAAAGATTTAATTTATTTTGGGTTTTCTGCAACCCACACAGAGTCAAGTATACATACAAGCTCAAATATATCCATGCACTGCCACTAATAGTTGGTTAAATTTCTTGCAGCAAGTTCGACCTTGACCAGATCCTTTTTGTAGCCATTAACGAGCTTCTGGCACAGTTCTGGCTGGATATTTGACCACTCTTCTTTACAGAACTGATTCTTAGTTCATTTAAACTGGTTAATTTCCGGTTATAGACCCAACTGTATGGAGCCCCAGAGCATGATGATGCCACCGCCATGCTTGACAGCTGGGCTAGTGTTCTTATATTTGAAAGTCTCCCCTTTTTCCTCCAAACATACCCCTTGTCATATTGGGCACAGGACTGAACCTCTGCCTCATCTAACCATGAAACTGTTCCCCAGAAGGCAATCGGCTTGTCCATGTGGTTAGCTGCATATTTCAGTGAAGCTGGAGGTGTCTGTTTTGGAGCAAAGACTTCTTTCTCTGCACCCTTTCAGTCCATTTTGAGTTTCAGCTCATTTCACGGTGGATACTGATGCTGATGTTCCAGCAGTTTCCAGTTCATGGCAGTGTTGAGCCTTGGTGGTCCCTGTGTTGTTCCTGACCATCCAAACCAATTTCCTCTCATCTGAGCGTGACAGTTTAGGTCTTCTTTCAGACCCTGGCAAAGTGGTGACTAGGACAGGGCAATATGGCCAAAAATATTTATCACAATATATATTTGAAAATTTGCGATAACGATATAACTGAGGATATAATTGACGCGAGACAAAATACTTTACAACTCCACAACTTTATTAGTGCAAAAAAATCCCATCAATGTATTTTCACTTAAACAAGCAGCTGTTTTTTATGTGCATTAAAGCTATATAAAAATTTAAGAGTGCAAATGGAAATTCCTTGCTGACAGTTTAACCAAAAGGCATTTCCAGTGTAAATTGGCCGACATATCCTCAGCATAACCATGTATAATATCCACAAAACTTAAAAAGAGGTTATACACACACAATACGGTAATATTATGTTGAAGCACAGTACGTATCACTCCGCGAGGCTCCCGACTACGGTAGCCGTAATGCTCTGACATCAAGCAGTGCGGCTCTGTAGCTTCCAAAAGTCGTACTAAAACATTTTTTGACATATTTCTGAGCACCGTGTACCACATAAAATCAGTTCAAAGTCAGTAAGCTCAACCAGAATTCATACATAAGGCACACGGAATTATAAGGGGCACTGTCAATTTTTCAGAAAATCAAAGGATTGATTTTAAGTGTGCCGTATTTTCCGAAAAACATGGTAATAATGACGGCCCGCTAGCACGCTCTACCAAAAAATATGCTCTGGTGTGTATCTGACAGAAGAAAGCCAAACCAGTTCCACACCACTGAAGTTGCAGCATTTTTACAAACCAATTCTGGTTCATCCGTTTCATTCAACAATCTGCTTTCGCCCTTCTCATTCTCTGTCGCCGCTATGCTTTTTCCACCATGTACGTATGGGGAAAAAAAGGCATTGCGCAAGCGCGTTTTACCCATATTATATCATGATATTTCATTTTCTTATCGTTGCCCAACATTATACCCGTATTACCGTGAACGTTATGATATGGCCCAGCCCTAGTGGTGACACATAAAAATAATGTGTACTTTGATACAGTTGTTTGAACTGGTGATATTGGAATCTGTTTAGAAATGACTCCAAAAGACCTTCCTAACTCTGGTAAATCCACAATTCTCCTTCTTAGATCTTCACTGAGTTTCTTGGACTTTCACATTGTTCTAATTATTGATCAATCCGTTGAGTGCCATCAAACAAGTTCTTCTAATGCTGGCAAAGAGAAACTATCAGCTGTAGTTTGTGATCTGAGTTTCTAGGCTGAGAAGCAGAAATTCGGTGTAAAAAACGGTGTATAAATTTGCTTTTGACACTGGTGACATACATGCCAATTTCAGTGCCCCTCCCGAAAATCTCCCGGAGCCACCATTCTCCCGATTTTCCACCCAGACAACAAAATTGAAAAACCCCAGATTGGCCCGGTCAATTCCAGTCTCCAACAATGGCTTCTACTACTGCAGCTACTTAGTTTTAATATTACTCTTATTACTCATTCTGGGTCGCAAAATAAACTTTTCGAAAATTTACGCCAGCATCAAGTTATATTTTAGATAACAAGGAGCAGACAGCAGAGTTTCACTCCACCGAGAGAGCTTGTGACGTAATTCTGAAGGCTAGACTGTCCAATTTCACAGTCGCTCATTTCCGGTCTACCCGGCTTTCTGTAGACCGCGAAGGCCAGGTCCTCAGGTGGACGCAGCCTCTGAATTTGGACAGCCCCGCTGTTTCCGGCCGGACAATAATAACAGTGACATTTAACTTATTTTATCCATTTTAGCCAAATTCTAATTTTTTGTCCCACCCCCACCCAACAGCCCTTTTGAATGTCTCCCTAATTCTGAGGTCTCAAGGTTGGCAGGTATGACTGGTGGCTGCTGCAGAGACTATGTTCTAAATATTGTGCATTTTTACGTGTGTGTGTGTGTGTGCGTGCGTGCGCGCTTGTGTGTTTAGGGTTCACAGACTGGCCGCCCCAGAGGAAAGAGCTTTCTGTCAGCTGCAACACAGAAGTCGCTGGAGAGGAAAAGAGGAATGATGTGAGTTTTTCCTGCATCGTTGCTGTTTTTCTGTTTTCTTCACAAACCAAACCCAGTCATTACACGTTACATAAGAACCACTGGAGTGGGTTTTTATTGCAAGGTAAAAATGCAGCAGTTCCTTTAATTTTGTGATGAATTGAAAATCCTGCCCCACAGAAAGAAAAAACTTTCTTCTTCATTTCTTTGTCAGCTCCTAAAACTTGTCTTTGTTTCAGGATCCAAAGAAAGGCTGCAGGAAGGCACCGTGGGGTTATGACGAGGACAGCACAAAAGTCTGGATTCTCTGCTGAGCCCCTGCCAGAAACCAAACGAGGACATTTCAGAGCAAATCCTCAGAGGGTCCCCAAGAGCGCTTCCTCCTTTAGACCCCAATGACACCTTCCTAATTGGCCCCAGTGAGAACTCCTAACAAGCCCTCTAGTGATTACATGAATAGAGTATTACTAATCATTTGAGAGTTTCCAAATCCAAAAACCAAATTTGATTCAAATGGATGACTAATGCATATCATTGTATTTCATCTCGGGGGCTTTGAGAACATTTTTGACACCTGGTGTCCACAGAGGAGTGGCTATGTCACGTCTGCTTCCGGCATTTTTTAAATTAAATAATTTATTTTATTTTTTTGCCATCTTCAGATTATTCATGTTGAAGATATTTGTGCGAAAATGTGGAGTTGACAGAAAAAATCGTTTGGCAGCAACTTTAAAGGGTTGTTCACAGCACCTGAAAGATTTATAGACTCGCAGCAGACGTTCTGACAGCTACCGTGAACAGTATTGATCATCTCTCTGTTCCTTTGGGTACTAGAGGAAGACAGCAGTTCATAAATGTGGGGTCAAATATTAGATTTGTGTTGGGAACAAATACTCTTTAGTAGGTTGTGCATTGTAGTCTTCAGATAGGCAATCGCTTTGTTTAAAGGTGACCAATTGTGCTTATTTCCAGCCTAATATTTTAATTCATGAACTCCACTAGAGTGGCTTTGCATGATTCACAGGTAGCAGATATCCTTATTTGTCTTTTGCTGAGGCTTGGTGCAGCTCCTCAGTCCATCCATTGTCTGAAATAAGATACTTTAGCTCCTCTTTTGTTAACTTTGTGACCACTTTGACTGAAATTTCAGGACCACAGATCCTGAAACATATTCTTAAAGTGTGACTGCTGTCACATGCCTTAAAGTTGGCGAGCTAATAGTTACACAGCAGCTTGTTTCACGTTTGCTGACATTGGCAGCTCTTTGCCTGCATAAGCTTTATAAACATCTATGAAAGAGAATAAAATATACTTCAATCTTACTCTCAGATTTGAAACATAGCTTGGAGTTTTGTTCTGCTTATTTCCAGTTCCATTTTTTGTTGTTTGACTCTACCAGCATGGCTTTGCATGATTAACAGTTAAAGGCTTTCCTTATTATCTGATACTACGCCTTGGCGTAGCACCTCGCTCTCGTTCACTAGCTGAAATGAGCTGTTTTAGTCAACTTTCTCCTGATTGGCTGCCCCTCATAAAACAGGTTTCAAGCAGAAAGTGGGTGGGGCTTCTGTGCCTGAGAAGACCATATTAGGGATATTCCCTTTCTTTTAAAGCCAAGCGTAGATAAAACAGTTAGAGCAGTGTGAAGCCTTAACTTTTGTCCGTGCCACAGTATTTATGACAGAAAACAAGAAAAATTATAATAGATCCACTTGATGATGTTAGGAAGTAAACATGTGGTAGATAAGCTTTTTCAGAGCAGACACTTTGGAAAAGCACCCTTGTATGTGCTGTGCCGTATGGCTGTTACATTTAATGGGAAATAAGCATTGCTTGTGTTTTTCCTGCTGCTGTTATAAATCTTTGTCTTTTGTGGAAAAAACAGTATTTCCCCTTTTCCACAAAGACAATGCTGGTGCCCAGTGTAGTGCAGACTAGTCCCAAGTGACAAAAGCTGAGGCCAGCACTACGCTTCAGAGATCCCAGGCACGGTGTTTTAGGCACTCAGGTCAGTGACCATGAGAAGGACTATCACAACAACCAGCCGAGGCAGTCGTCAGATTCTCTCTGTCATCATTTTTCTTCCCACAGTATTTCTTAACTTCTCGCAACTCAGCATAATCACCACTAAAACCAGTTGAGAGGTGGGCCGGCTCTCTGTGTGGCTGGAAAAGAGGTGCATTAGGACACCCAGCTGAAACACACCTGTTCATTCATCACCTTCGTGATTCACCACCTCTTGTATTCACACATATTAAACCCTGCTTGTGTGATATGAGTAGTATTTTGTTCATCTTCATATCGATGGCTGATACTTGACTTGAAGTGTTACTCTTCGTGTTGCCTTAAATATTTGTAGCTAAAACCTTTTGCAAATTTTGTATTGTTGTGGATTTTTGATTTGTTTTAAATGTTATTTATTTGTTCGTGTTTGATAATAATAAACTTTTATTTACACTGAGTTGTTGATGTGACGTGTGAAATTGAGGGAAAGTACAGACTCCCAGCAGCAGGGGGCGGTGTTCGCGGCTCCCGCCCGATTTATTTTTTAACTTCCGCTTCCGGCTGTGTCTGGTGCTATGAGCTTTGTTTTGAATAAACGTCTTCTCGTCAGCTGATTGAAAACAGGATGGCGGAAGAGCAGGACGCCGGTGTTTCTTCTCGGGCTCAGAGGAAAGCTTTGAGTAAGGCTAAAATACTACAGCGGGAGAGCGAGAGGGAGGTCTTCAGACTGGTGAGAGGGGGAAAAACATGCACATTTACAGCTAGCAGGCTAGACTAGCTCATGTTTGCTCTGTGCATTGTGAGGCTTACCCGGTCCCTCTGTCCTCCTCCCGCAGGTCGGGCGGGTCCTGAAAAAACCGGAGTCTCAGCGGTCAGAGGAGGAGGCCGCTGCTCTGCTGCTGCACAGAGACACTGTGGAGGAGCTCTGCAAGAGACAAGTCCGTAGAAATGTGCTCAAGAGGAAGCAGGAAGAGGTGAGACTCCGGCCCAGAGAGGCTGGTTCTGGCCTGCTAAGGTTGGTTTGTGAGCTAGTGGGACAACTTCAGAACAGACGTGGAGGCAGCAGGTTTCTGGGTTGATTGTGTGAAGACTCAGAGAGGTTGAATGGTAGTCGCTCTTTGTGCACAAACTGTAATAAATACAAAAGGACTAAAACCATGGCAAATGCACTGGTACTCATATAGTGCTGTTCTGCTCTAAGTGGGCACTAAAAGCTTCATTTGCCCAATCACACATTCATTTCTTACACCTAAGCACTTTTTTACACTTTTCACACATACACTCACACTCTGATGGATGCAGCAGGCTCAATTCGAGCTTCAGTACCCATAGATAAGTCAAAATGCAGACTGGAGGAGCCAGAGATTGAACCACTGGCCTCCTGAGCTACCACTCGGGTCCTCATGGACTGCTCATGGAGGAGCAGTATGAGGGCTCAACATCTACCCATGTGTGCGTGTGTTAACTCAATAAGAGTTAACACACATACACCCAGAAGCAGTATCTCTCAAAGAGCCCAGAAAAAATGTTAGCAGCTATTTTTTCTGGTTTGTAATCCTAGACTTAGCCAAAGTATGAACTGAGGAGCTGCACCAGGCGTGGTTTAACTCTTTCCCCCATAAAGACGACATTTGACAAGATCCTCTGTACCCTTAATGACATGTATTGACACCTCAGTACCAATATACTCTGGTTTGAGTTTGACGACCACTAGAATAGTTTATGAAGGTCAGCTGCATAGGTAGAGTCCACCCTCACCCATTTCTGATGAAAACCCAGTCATTTTGTTTTATAAGCAGGCCTGAAATATGGTAAAAACCACTCCGTTCAGAAAAGAGCTTCAAGGGTTATTCCTAGTAGGCTAGAGCAAGGTAGAAGACATTACTTGTTAAAACATCCTGCGTATACTTCCTCTCTTAGAAGTATTTGTGGTGATTAAAAACAACTTTCATTAAAGATCATGGTTGGGTGACAGTGTCCTCCTGCTGTTGTGACAGCGTCTAGCTCTTTCTGCTGTGAGAGGGCAGCGAGGCTTCAGAGTGAAACGTACAGTAGTTTACTGCATGATTTTAAAACATAAAACTGCTTCTTTTGCTTCAGACTTCCTCCCTTCAGTGATCATTTTACATTATTTTGTCATGGTTTAAAAAAATCAGATGCAAACCATCGTCACCGTCACTCCCTGACCCACCCTCCAGGCAAACAGTCTATTTCTGATTATTTTTGAAGCTCTAATGGTCTTCAGTACAGCTCTGATGTCTTTTTCAGGTATTTGATGGTGTTGATGAGCTGAAAAATAAAGTCAGGCAGCTCGCTGTGGCAGTCAAACAAGCCAGTCACCTCGTGGTTTACACCGGAGCCGGTATCAGCACGGTATCTTAAACTCTTTCTCTTCATTTTCGCCTTACTTTTCCTTTTTAAACTTTCACAAAACTGACATCGTCTGTAATTTCAGGCAGCTTCTATCCCTGACTACAGGGGCCCTAACGGGGTATGGACGCAGCTACAGAAGGGTCGGGCCATTAGGTGAGATACAGAGTCTTTACTGTGGTATGAAATATATGTATTACTCTCCCCTAGTGCGTTCTGTTTGATTTATCTCTGCGTTTCTTTACAAACAGCTCGTCAGACCTGAGTAAAGCGGAGCCGACGCTCACGCACATGTGCATTAAGATGCTTCATAAGGAAAAGCTGGTATGTCACACCAAAGTCCAAAAACATATTTGAATTTCCATTTAAATGAGTGATTAGAGATTTGTAACTTCAGTTTCAATGGTTACTGCGACATAAAACAGCATCTAAAGACTCATCAGTTAAATCCAATAATTTAAAAAAAAGCTTCAAGTTAAAAACGTTATTTACTTTTTCCAGTTATTCTGACTTATTCCGGTCATTACGACAGAAGCTTCAAAATAACTTCAAGGATGTTCCAAAAATGGCAAGACTTATTCCAGAAGGATTTTAATAAGATTAGCCAAGAAAAACAATAGCTACATTTAGCAGAACTTTACTATGATAACAAGCAGATGTGTGTATGTTTTTCCTGGTCTGGCATTGATAAGGACAGGACAGCGTCCATCTTTAGCGTTACAGAATATTACCTCGGTTTTGCTGCGTCTCCTCCTTGTAGCATCTCTGCTCGCATCACATTGTTCTGTCTTTGTTTGCTCTGTGTAAAGGTTAAGCACGTTGTGTCTCAGAACTGCGATGGACTCCACCTGCGTAGCGGTCTGCCCAGACACGCCCTCTCTGAACTCCATGGAAACATGTTTATTGAGGTAAGAACCACGCATCCTCAGTTCTTAGACTTTGTAGAAAGCCTGGAAAGAATTTGCTGAGAGGTTTCTAAAAACAGCATCTAAGCCTAAACCCCTACAGATCCAGACGTGTTTGTTTCACATCAAAAAAATATTTCTCAGGTGCATCACGTCTTAAAAGCGCTGGAGGTTAATCTTGCCTTTCAAGAGCCGTCACACACACTGCTTAAATTGCTGCTCGACTCTCCACATAGGCCCGTTTAATGTAATTTGTGAGCTCCCATCACTGGCTGCCTCGTCATTTAGTGTCTGTGCAGTCCTGACCAAAGATTTTTATGCAAATGGGAGGGATTTGCATGAGAATATTACAAGAGCTCAGGCTAAGTGATTAACTGTTAGAGGTGATCCAGATATTAAGTAAATATGTTTTTTAAAAGGATTGCAGACCAATGTGAGAGGGGCCAAAATTGCTGTGAGATGTCATTGTGATGTTATTGAGAAAGATATGACAAACTAATCCCGATCCAGATATCTTTCCTGGATGCAGGGATTTGATTCATTCTTGGTGTGGAGGGAATTTTCAGCCTCAGGCAAAGTTATGCAGTCTCTGACTGCTCTTATCCTTTAAATTTTCCAGGCTTGGGATTAGTAAAGGTCTCTGAATTGAGTAATTGAATAAAGAAATTTGAAATGTAGAAGTGAATTGCATCAGCAGTGTAAAGCATGCATGGATGAGTGAACACTAAAAGTTGAAAGAGTAGAAGAAGCCCTAACATTGGATGTGTGTGCAGCAGGATTAAATGTAAAACATGAATTGATAAACGTTACAATACATTTCTTACTGGCCTCAAACTCTTTATTCAGAGAGTTTAAACTGCTCTGAAATGCTGGGTTTCCCTTCTGTTGGTAGGTGTGCACATCCTGCTCCCTGGTCAGGGAGTACGTGCGTTTATTTGATGTGACCGAGCGGACGTCGCTACACCGCCATGGGACGGGACGGAAGTGCAGCCACTGTGGTGCCGAACTGAGAGACACCATAGTGCACTTCGGGGAACGTGGGACCCTCGAGCAGCCTCTCAACTGGAGGGGAGCAACAGAAGCTGCCAAGATGGCGGATGTTATACTCTGTTTAGGCTCCAGTTTGAAGGTAGGATTTATAAAGCTGTCTTAGTCTGTAAATGTAATCTAGGTTAGGTTGCATACATTGTACAGTTTTATACCAGTTAAACAGCATGTGCCCTCAAGAACAGACGTGAGTTTGCTTAAAACTGAGCAGTCCAAACAAGATTTGAGCCCACAGTAAAGTGACAATAAACCCTAAGGCCTGATTTGGACTTCTGCAGGGAATCTTTGTAGAGCCTGCGACGTAACCTATGTATGCTGTGCCAGACAATAGAAACAAATAAAATGCTGGGTCTAT